TATACACAAACAGTTACATGAGCTACCATCTTCCCCCGAACAGAGCGTACGGTAATTATCACCGCATCTAGACAGAAAGTCACCGCAAATACAGCTATAAATACCTTACGTTCTATTCGGAGGAAGACGGTAATCCAGCCATTCATTCGATTCAAGTTATCATGTCATTTGAAACATAACACCAGTTCAAGCTAATACCTGCTTTTTCCCTGGAGCACTCGACCGGACTACTGGGGCGTGGTCCCACTAGCAAAGAGGATCGGATCGAATGCCTGAATCTGGACGAGTTTATGGAGATGTGCAGGAAATCGAGATTGAACTGCTTTTCTGCATCTGTGCTTAAAACACATCCAGATTCAGGCATTCTATCCAATCCTCTTTGCTAATGGGACCTCGGCCCTGGGAGGGGATGCTCATACCACCCCCCCCTACCAGAAAGGCGGCGTCTTTCTCAAACAAACAAACAAGAAAAGAAAAAAAAACTGCTTTTTCCGATCCTCAGTGATTCCTCTGTAGAGGAAGACAGAGGGCTCATGAGTTTTTTTGTTTCTTTTGTTTGTTTGTTTGAGTGCACGTGAGTTTTAGTGCCTTACTTTTTTTTTTTTTTTTTTACATATAGCTACTGTCAATTTGTGGGGAGTTGCACCTGCTGGAAACCGGGTCCAGCGTCCCTATTCAGAAACTCATCTTCCTCTCATCGACAAGGCACAGAACTCATTCTACCCAATAGAACGCCCTGCCATTACAGCTGTATTTGGGGCGATTTTCAGTCCAGATGTGGCGATAATGACCTGACCGGGCGTTCTATGCGGATAAAGACGGTAGTCCCTAAGCTAGCTGCACTGTCAAATGGCTTGAAAACGGTAACAGACATGCCGCATGCGCAATCACATACACATCATCTCAACCTCATTCTTTTGTGCAATACAATGATGAAACGGCTAAAACGAAGATGACCTATTACTGCCAGAAGCCGTCTCCTTCCTTCCATCCTTCTACACACCCCAACTTCCTCTCTCTCTCTCTCTCTCTCTCTCTCTCTCTCTCTCTCTCTCTCTCTCTCTCTCTCTCTC